GTAGCTTTATATGAGATTTTCCCCTACCTGTTGGGGCAGAGTGTGGTAATCTCTGATTCGCTCCTCCATGTTAATTGATAATTATCTGATTAGAGTATATAAGTGCTCTGGGTATATTTGGAGAAGACACACTCTCCCCGTGGTATAGTACCTCCCTTGAGTGTTTCGTGACCAGGATGTTCAGTATGTTACTGACTTCTTTCTCATTTGTTTCTTATGCATTTCTTATTATCATGTCGCATAAAGTTTTTGTTGTCGTTTTTATATTTGTTTTCCTTTATTCTATAGACTTCTGTTTATTAATATGTATGGTTATAGTATTTGATAAATGAAATAAAACAAATTGCAATCATTAGATGTCGGTGTCTGATTCCTTTTATGTTGTGGCTTTAAACAATTGGGCCGGAACAAAAAAAAATTGTGTGTATATGTGTGGCTTATAAGGACTTATTCAACAAAACGATGATGTTGTAATAACATTTTGTACATAAATTAACCATAATGTAATTTATTGACATTACGTTTGTCATCATATTTTATGTCTTACTCACAGAATGACAGAAAATGTTTTGTCCCACAAGCCTGTTGTTTTATACACCGTCTTTAAACTTCAACAGCTGGCACAACACAGCAGGAAATAGCTGAATGGCTACCCGACACTCGTTATATTATGCTCTATTCTTTTCTATTGTGTTTTCAGAGAAAGAGTGCCAACACAATGCCACCTCTTACATGAACAACCTGTGCACAGCTCTTTACACTTTCACATTCACTCAACACCCTTATGGACCATGTTGCTCTAATGTAAAGGTCAGTGCAAGAAAGCTTTTGGTGTCTCTGAAGTGGTTTTGCTGAAACCACGAATAGTCTGTGCATTTGAATTTACGAGTAAATAACTCAATGCCACGTTAAAAAAAATCGCAATTTTGCCATAGTCATTAAAGCAAAGATTCCAAAGGGAGTTTTTGCAGCAATGCCAATCGGTTCTTAAATTTATCTCACTGTGAAGAACATTGTAATAATCTATTCTAAAGAACTTTTTTTTTACTATAAAGAACTTTTTGTGCAGTGGAAAGGTAAAATGTTATAGAAAAGGAATTAAGAAGATGGAAAAAAAGTCAAAGCAAACGTGAGATTTAAAAAATAAAACACAACTTTACTTGGGGGAACAGCAAACATTTCGATTCTTTTGCGATGGAATGATTATATGGATATTTAAGGTTCTTTATGGAATTGACACATAACCTTTCATTTTAAGAGTGTGTTGTCCGATTATATATTTAACGAATAAGGTTGGTTTCTTGATGTTTTTTTTTTTAATAGAATAAATATGCTTCCATGAGTAAAGAACCACATTACATATTTGAATGTTTTCAATAAACTTTATTTTGGGACAGTTTAATGGGGGCCTCTAGTGGATACATTACTCACATCTGAAATTTGTAAAAGGATCCTTTGCTTTAACAGCATCTATAATGTATGGTGGTCTCACTGATTGAATGACACTAAACTAAAATACATTTCAATGAAATGTTTTATTGTTTAGTGTCATTTAATCGATGACACTACCATACATTATTCATAACAGCTTGCTGAACACTAAGCGCTTAAAGCACTGCTATAATTAGTTTGATTGATTCTCTCCTGCATTATATGGTGTCAGTTCACGCCATTGTGGTTGAATATACCTTTCACACTACAAAACAACCAATGGGATCTCATTGGTTGGATCTCATGAAAACATGTTCATGTCATTTTAAAATGAAAAAAGTGAGACTTTTTAGAGAATTTAGAGACCATTTCCATTGTGACAGGCATACTTGACTGTAATCTGAACATTTAACTTTTGAGATTTTACATTTGATTTTATTTTTACACAATATTTTTTATTGAGATTAAGGGAGAAACTGAATGGGACATTTTACTTTTGATCTGTTTTTACTTCTTTTTTTTTAGTTCTCATTCTCAAAGCTGATTCTCATTATTACAAATTACTGTAATGCATTATACCTGTATCTATGTTGATCAAATATACACTGTATTAACCAGCATCAATTCCACAATTTATTTTATTTTTATTTGTTTAACCTTTATATAACCAGGTGAGCACGTAGAGAACACGTTCTCAATTGAAACGGCGAGCTGGCCGTTAATGTTACACATTAAATACATTAAGTTCTCTGGACAATAGAATAAACAAAACTATATCATAGTTTTTTCCACAACTCATTGTTTACTTTTTCATTTTAAATTAGAACTTAGGAGAAAAAAATTTCATGAAAATAATGTCAAAAAGTCACAATGGTGCAAAAGAACGCTTCGTTGTCGTCAAGGTAATTATAATTCCTTATTTTTTTTTCTATTGATTTTGGGGTGAAATGCCACCTGAACTTGTTCCTGGCAGGTTTTGTGAGATTCACCCAATTACAGTAACCACCGTTTTCCACGTAAACCTCTCACACCTTCAGGACATGACGGATTTTGACACATGAATTACCAATCAACACTTGTTTCCTGAGGTGAATACTGATGCAGAAATGGCATTGTCCTGTCCAGATTCTCTGAAGCACACACGCTGTGGCCCGCCTAACTGACAGTGGAGGACTGCTTTGAAGGAAGGCCATTGTTAAATAGCACCTCTCAACGTGCATTACATAAATGTGGGGCTGTTACTGAGGGCAGGCGAGTGTTTAGCATCAGAGGCAGTAATGTAGGTGTGTGTGAGGGCCACTTCACCTGAACTACTGCTCTGATTGGCCTGCACACAAGAGCTTGACAGAGGTTTCCACATAGAGAAGGGCCAGTGAAGGCATCAGGGCCATTCACAGTCAGTAATGCTTTGTGTGTGAGAGAGAGAAAACGCATTGACACGTGTTTTATTTATGCCTTACTTTGAACACTTTGGCAAATATTATTAATTCATGATTGTTTAGGTACTTAAGTACCATATTAAGTGAATAGCTGAATAATCATGAATTAATAATACTGTGTAATAATATGAATTCACTAAAGGAATTAGCATTGCTTGCAAGGCAGCAAAGGAATATTGTTAAGGTTTGAGGAAAGGGATTTATCTTTGTTAAAACATATAAAATAATAAATATAATTTTTTTAATAAATATAATCAATATATAATAAATAATGCACTAATAAATAAATCAAATAAAACCAAAAATGGTGCATTTGAATTTTAGTTGTGCGTCATCAGTGGCGCACGAGATGCATTGATGAAGTAAGAGTTTTTGCATTTTAATGCACTGCTGCGTTGTTTATTCAAAACATTGCCAAAATACTTGCGCTAGATGGAAATTTTTGAACATGCTCCTTTCCAAAGCCAAGTGACAAAAACTGAACTGAACTGAATGGATATTTGAATTGACTATTTTTTTCCCCAAAATAAACACATTTTTGTACATGTTAGAGTATTGTGCTTTTAGCTTAGCAACATCAAACTCTATTTTAGCCCTCAAACCGTATTCACTTTATAGCCCTTACTCCTGTAATTATGGACAAATGTGGGAACAGAGGACTCAGGTGTGATCCTAATTTTTATTTATTATAAATCTTATATCACTGTCTTCGATAAAGTTTTGTCTACCCATTTATGGTGTTGTTTTTTATTTTGGGGGTATTTTTGAATTTATTTACTTCAAAAAGTACCATATTTTGGGGGTATTTTTGAATTTATTTACTTCAAAAAGCACCATATTTTCTATGTAAATTGTGCTTATTTTTATGTTTTATTTATTTATTTTTTTTAACTAAATTAAAATATCATTCCAATAAGTTCTTAGAGCTAAAACCTAAAGATGAAGTGACTTTGCTGTCACCTGGTGTCTTATTTTTGAATGCTCTAAATTACAGTTTTTCCCATTCATTTCTATGGGTGCCCATTTTTTACCCAAATACAAGATTAAGAAGTTTTTTTTCCACCCACTTAACATTGTAGAATTGAGTAAAAAAAAAAAATGTGTGTGTTCAGGAGGCAGACTTAGGAAAAGTAGCCAAGTCTTGTACCGCTCATATCAAGGGAAGTATTTTTTTTAAAAATAAATCAAATCTATTTTGCCCAGAATACGGTTTCAGGGTTAAATCATTTGTGAGTCAAGTCTCAATCTCAGGTTTTGGATGCTGCCTATGTAGGCAGTAGACAGCTCATTAGGTATTGAAACATTTCCTTTGGGACAGTGAACTGCAACCAATCACAAAACATTATTTAAATCAACGTAAGAAAGAAGACCAATCATAATTCCAAATACGGTTACTATGATGATGTCGTCGCTGTTGGTTACATTATGAATGCTAAGAGTTCTATCAATGTTCCATGAAAGTTTGAGTACAAAAGCACATCCAAGGCTAAAATTGTCCACAAAAGAGTACTGAATGTTAAACGGTTCAGGCTGAATCAATAGCACAAGTTCAATACATGGGGTCAGGGCTTTAGAACAAACCCTAACCAGAATATTTTAGGAATATCAATACAGAACTGCCATGAACGCGTTGTGATAATCTCTTCAGCGTTCCATTCCAGAGCTGCCCCACTTCTGTAATCCGTACATCACAAGACAGCATCAGACAGCGAGGGCAGTTTGTATCGTGTGGGCTGTCACACATGGAAATGGAAGAACACTTGTTCCCGGTTGATGGTTTATCTGGATCGAGATGCTAAGCCATTTAGCAAAGCCTAATTACAGGGATGGTCTCCTTGAAGCGCCATGTTCATTGGCACAGGTGAAAGCGCTGGGTTGTAATGTCAATATCTCTCCTGCTCCTTGATCAGCCCATTTACTCTTGATTTCATCTGCCACCTTCATGTTAACACACCAGATCTTTACCCATTACGCAACCCCCACACTATAGAGGTGGCAACGAAACCATTAGTGACCCAGCTGGAGTGATAAGATTGCGGTTCGATTCATCCAGCCTGCATTACTTGTCATGCATGAAATGTCCCTCCAATGAATTGCTGTGACACAAACAGAGACCAACTTTGGACTTACCTTTGATATGTGCTTTTGTACTTCTGCCTGTAAGACAAAAAATGGAAGCACATTAGCTTGCATCCATAATGAGCACATGCCATGGGAGTAGGTGCTTTTACGTGTGTAAAGACAAGAACAGCACGCTCTCTTTCTTGTGTGAACAAAGCCAGGATTCTCAAGGAATCCGCAGTGATAGTTATCGAATGGAGCTGCTGTTATCGGATGCGTTTTAGACTGACGCACTGGGACGTATTGCAAATCAATCGCTAATAGACTTGTTTAAATATTAAACAGCCTTAATAAATCACTTTGCTTTTGATTGTGTTTAATCCACCAAGAAGTTTCAAAAGGAAAAACCGTGTCCTGGATGTTGAGCAGTAGGGCCGTTTCAACGCATCCCAAAACAACACTGTCTACCTAGGATGGGATGAATGGATGAGTACGGTTGGTCTGAATAGATCCAAAGAGGCTTGAATGAGCTTTGCAGGGAGGTGATGGAACTAGACAGGGTTAAATCCCGGGATCATCCATTCAGTGACTCCGACTTTCTACAAATTTGCTTCTGTTATAGGTCACAGCGCATGATTAGATTGCGCCAATGCATTTAACATCAGACTAAAGGTTATAATGTTTTAGCAGTGACCAGAACAACAGAAAGTCATTTTTATGATGGAAAATAGGCATAGTGAATAAACAGTCAAAATATATCATTTTATTTTTGTTTCGAATAAGGTTTGCTAAAAGATTAATTCATTAATCATTAAGGCATAAACATGAAATGTATCTGTATAACATGAACTATAGTGTTTGGGTTGGAACTTGGTTTTATGAATTGTATAAGTCTCTAAGAGTGTATGCTTTTATTTCTGTTTTGAATATAAAGTTTGATAGATGATTTATTATTAATTGTTGTGGCTGAAAAATAGGTTTGAATTCTTAGTTATCTCCGATGTTTCATAAATGACCCATTGTTGGGAAAATATTTTTAGTTAACGTCACATTACATTTGCGTGTTGTGCACAATCCTAGAGTTGGTGGTGAAATGCAAAATACGACGTCAACATTTCTCATTATTAGTTTAAAATTAAATCCCAAAAGAACTATGTTTGGATAGTTTCACCATAAAATGACACAATCCAAACACCGCTGATCCCAAACCCTACAAGACTGATTTGAATTCATCAACTAAAACTGTCAGTAGAAGCAAGTATGTGAACAACAACATTGCCTGATTAGGCTTGACAGTCTCATTAGTATTACATTCACACACTTGCTGCCCCGAGAGTCAAAATTCACCCACTCCCAGCATCATAGCGTACAGTGAACACACAACCATACTGCTCATAAACAGCTCTGTCATTCTCCCTCTTCCAGGGCATCAAACCAGATTTTCCAGTATGAAACAAGAAGCACTTACATTCCTTTCAGCCTAATCCACATCTTCTCCGTCTGGTCGCACTTGGAGTACTTCAAGGAGTTCTCCAGCCCGTCCGTGTCGTTGGCCAGAGACTCCATGGTTTGCACGGGCGTGTGGAGTATGTTAAGACGCAGAGGGATACGCAGGTATGCGATTCAACACGTGTAGCGCAGAGCTCCGAGTCTTCAAAGCATCTCCGACAGTTCGAGCGGCACACGTTTCCCAGAGGGTCCTGCTCTCAGCTCCGGAGTGCATCAGCCCGTTCGAGTGAGTGTCAGCGCACAGACCTGTCTCTCCACTACGCACTGAGGGAACGTTGTCACACACACACACACACACGTCACACAACTGTTTCTCTCTCTCTCTCTCTCTCACTCCCAATGTCCGGAAAAGCAGCAGTGTGCCATCTATCACCCTCTCGGAATCTGTTCCCTCTTGCTCTTTCGCGCTGTTGTTTTCAGCCTTTCAATCAATCTATGATGGAGGCAGTCCTGTCGACTCTTGACATCTGTAATCTCATGCATTTATACCACTGCAAATACACAAACACTACCTCACTCGAAACAAAAAGTGCACCTGTGTGTGTCGCGAGTGTCGCTCCGTTGGCTGGAAACGGATCATCGATTCCCCCCTCCTCTTCCACAGCCGGAGAAACGCAGAGGGAGAAGGAGTGCGAATCGTTTCCTCACATCCTCACTAGCATCATTATCCTGGCCACCGGGGGCTGAGATTCCCCTGCCGTTCACCAGCTTCCCCGAGACGTCGTTCTTCAGAGGAATCCATCATGAAGCCGTATTTTACAGAGACTTCTCCTCCGTTGGCAAGCTGAATGAAAAGCTCCCCTGGCGACATCTCTAGGTCCCGAGTTGGCTTGGTTTTAATGAAATTAACCTGTGCGCTATAGCATCCCGCGCACGGCAGCCTAGTTTCAACACGCTCTAATCCTCTCATTCCAGCGCAGCTGCAAGGAGCAGCGTGCTGATAAAAATGTCATGATTGTTTGTGAAATATAAGGCGTTATTAGGCAGGCACAGGGGCAGGGGTTTCGTAAGAGAACATGCTCCAGTCCGAGATTAGGCACCTTGCCTAATATAGCAGCACCCCTATATCTCGTTTCTGTAAATAAGAATGGAATGGAGATTCTGGGTTTTTTTGGTGCTGTTGCAGCCAGGCATGGCTGATTTTCATTCATTAGGGGGAAGGGCACATCTCCTGCCTACAGAGCATCCGCGGCATGAATAGGCTGAATCTTAACGATCCCTTCTTCTGGGTGACCGGTCTATTGGATTACACTTTACAATGTAAAATAGCTTAATCATTGCTGCATTAGCATAGGAACAAAACTAATGTCTCATTAGTTCCTTTCATCACATAGGAATTGCCTGAAATTGGTGCATTCTGAGAATGACAGATTATTTCTGGGCTCTGATTACTCTAAATCTTTCTTTGTTTCACTTAAAAGTAATTCTGATTGGTTGCTACATGTATTCATTTTTCCGTAATAAATTGCATTAAGTGAAAAAACAGGCTCTCGTCTCTATTTTTATTTTTTTTCCGTTTAATAAAATTTTACATTTGAATTAGCCATTTGTTTCATGTAAAACAGTTCTGATATATAGAAACGCATAAAATGGGACAATGTGTGTGTGTAAATAAAACATTCATATTCACTTTCGGCACTAAAATGATGAAATACGTTGCCATGGCAACACACTGCCATACAAATGGCTTTGGAGGGAATGTTTACGGTGCATGAAAGAATGACTTGAAGGTCTCACGTAGAGACAGACACACAGACAGACAAAGCGAGACAGAAAAGAGCTGCAACAAAGACTACTGTGCTGGGTTATCTATATAGGTCCACTTATCCCATATGATTGTCGTCATGATGATGGTGATTACTGACTGAAAAGAGTAAGTAGGACAAGAGTACGAAGGTGCAGTCTGATTCAAAGCACATCAGGGAAGCTTTAGAGCATATCAGCTACTGAACAATAAGTGAAGATTGCTCAGGCTCGATCTAGTACGATCACCTAAGAGATTCTGGTTGTGACAAACACTTGGACCTCCTGATTTGTCGTGCTGCTTCATTTTGTTAAGTCAGAGAAGTGTCAATGGTTAGACGGTGCACAGAGCTCCATTAAGCAAACATAACTGCTTTCGAGCTGCCTTGCTGTCTACTGCCTTTTAAGGCAGCATTGTAACCAAAATGAAACCTTGCAAGTGATTGATTTGGATTGCTCTACATCTGCAGGAATTCTTTGTGCCATGCCAACATCGCTTCATATGCAAAGCACATGGAAGACTTGACGGATTCATTTCAAGCGTTACTGTTAGCATGTTGCTATGCTAACATTGCTATAGACATTATATAGCCCCGCCCCCTTTTCAGAGCTGTGCTCGTTTTGTTCTGTCTCCCAGTTTGTATTTCCAAAGCATGAGGGTAAGATTACGGATTTATGAATGAACCTCTCGTAAAATCTTCCCGTTCTGCTGACATTCGATATCTGCTTCAAACATTACAATGCTCCTGAGAATTTCGGTAACTCTAAAATAAGTAAATCCACTTCACCAGCTATAAATATACACTGTAAAAAAATATTTTGAAGATTTGTTATTACAACATATTTTCTTTTGTCAAATCAACTTTATAATAATTTATTTAGTTGAGATAACTTATTATTTTGAGTTTCTGATGATTTAATTAATCTCCTTCATTGTATTAACTCACTTTTTCCAGTTCAATCAACTTAAAATTTTAAGGCAACCCAGGTTACTTACTTTAAGTTAAACCAACAATATTTTTTACAGTGTAGTAATCACAACATTTTTTCTTTTGTCAAATCAACTTAAATAATTTATTTAGTTCAGATAACATATAATTTTGAGTTTCTGATGATTAAATTAATCTCCTTCATTGTTTTAACTCACTTTTTCCAGTTCAATGAACTTAAAATTTTAAGGCAACCAGGTCACTTACTTTTTTAAGTTAAACCAACAATATTTTTTTAGCTACCGCAAACAGAAGTTAAAAAGACAAAATTCTAAAGATTGCTGTGAATAATACATATAAAAAAGCAAAATATTATTAAATACTATATATAGTAATAAAATAACACTGTATTGAATTAATTATATTTATAATCATCATTTTTCTAGTTTCATCTAACATTTTTATTATTTTATTTTATTTTTATTTTTTTGCCGAGCTGGTTGCATTGCTCATTGTGGGATTCTTTTCTGCAAAAGATATATGTGATGCCGAAAAGGTATCTGAGGAGGTATCATGATTATGCCATTATTGATAAAAAAAACTGCCTATGAAGCGAAATTACTGCTGTTAATGAATTGGTTTGCTTTAGAGTTCATCACTCTTTCATTCAGGGCTTGGCAGAACATCACATCTGATACAGGGTGGATGTGGGTAATGTGTCCCTGGATGCAAACAGCCATCAATCAAGTGTGTTGATAGCTGCAGCATTAAAAGATGAAACGTTATACCTTCACTGTAGCAAGGTTAGATGTTGTGGGAAGAAGAATACGGCACATACCCACCCCCATCACACCTCACAGGCCGGGAGGTACCCAAGAGGGGGGCGGAGATGAACCAGTCACGGCAGCCGTGGCACCTGGGGGTATGGACAGACAAGGCGAGGGAAAAGAAGACGGAAGCATGAGGTGCAACAGAGATGAGAGGATAGAAAAAATATCTTGGTCTGGTTCCCAGACACACTGCCGCTCAGTCTTCAGCCAGCTGAGAGACTTTCTCGCAGTGCCACGTGATGGTACTGGACATCCGCTGGGGGATGGCTCGATGCTCCTCCGCCTCCTGGCGGATGGCGATGGCTCCCCCAGTCGAGGGCAGTCGGCAGCGAGTCTCCCGTTCCCTGCTCCGCCCCCATCCTGGATGACGGCAACAAGGCCCACGGTGAACAGGATCGACTCCTCTTCTCCCTCTCGGACAGCAGCCACCCCTCCTCGACCCAGGAGCACGGCAGCGAGGTCTCCGTCCCACCTGCTGTTCAATCGCTCCAGCACCATCGCCTCGAGCAACCATCGGCGGCCTACGCTCCTCTGCTGCACCGCGATCCCCCTCAGTAGCAAGGGCTCTCCGACAGCGTGTCCCTCCTTCCTCCCGGGTTTCGGCACCAGATGTTGTGGGAAGGAGGCGGGAATCGGCGAACATTCAAAGACTTTTATAAACATAAAATAAACAAATACAAAAACGAAAGTAAAGGCAGCGATCCCTCACGGACGACGGCTGGCACATAAAACAGAAACAAAACATCTCTCCCTCCTCCTATTATGCTTCCGATCCTCCATGAGAGATATGAGACGGGTGCGTCACGCAGGTGTTGCTCATTATCATCAATCACCCCACCGGCCTCGTAGCGTTCTCCCCTGGCCATCGGCCTGGTCCTGCTCGCCACACACCCCCAGCACCCCTCACAAGCCGGGGGTTACCAACGAGACTGCATCTGACAATGATAGGCTTCAGCCTCTGATAAGAGAATAATGGGGTGAATCTCATAAATACTGTCTGGCTCATATTCATATCCATATAAAAAGAAATTATATACTGTAAAGAGAATATGAAGCCTATTTTTAGGACACACACACACACATATGTAATGTACTAAAGTTATACATCACATCAGCATTTTTTTATTAACTTTATTTATGTCAATCATTGTATTACAATAAGGTGATTAAAGTGAGATTCACCATTGAGAATAATGAGAATTATTTACAAAAAAACAACAACTCGAAAGTAAATAATTTAAGGGCAAATTGTGCTAATTTTTACCATTAAAATAACAATACAACAGGCTTCATTGACTCATACAACATTTCATTTCATTTGTGGTGAATTTTGAGCAGGTTGCAAATTGGGATTCACCCAATGACCCTGATTTTTCATTTACAAACATTTGTTTTTAATCTTGACGGCTCTCAGTTCACGGACGAACATGCTTTGACGTCAGAGAACAATCATCATCAAGCAGGTAATTGTTATAATGTGAGAGTGGGTGTTTCCTTTTGGTTGTGTCTCTTAATTAAATGGAGTTTTAAGAGCCACAGCTTAGACAATGTGTTTATCCCCACGGACAGCACGACATATGATGTATAATACATTTGACACTTTAAATACATGTGCGGCTTGTGTTTAATGTGGATAACTCTTCACAAGCTTGGCTTTCATTAACTTATGACAGCTTAAAACTAATAAATGTCCTGGACTTCTTGGGAAGAGTTCTTATACATGTGTGACAAAGAAAATGTGACATGAATGTAGTCTTTAAAATTAGAATGTAAAAATGGTTTCTGATTTGTCTCTGCAGTTTCAATTAAACTGTGTTGCACGTTTTATTGAAAATCAGTGTTGTTATTGTTTACTAAAACGAATAAAAAAATTCAATTTGAATTCAAGCTGAATTTAAATAAAACCTAAAAATCACAACTTAAAAACCTTAAATGAAAATTAGAAATGCTGATTTGGCAACTTACAGAAAAAAAAAATGGTTTAAGTTGAAGTGCTAAAGCTAAAGTCAAGTCATCTTAATTTATATAGCACTGCTAAAAAATACATATAGCACCTTTAAAAGGTAAAAAAATAATAAAAGGCCAACAAAAGTCATATGACTTGAGAGGAACTTCTGAACTTTTATAATATTTGTATGGTGTCTTTTCAGAGCTTAAAATATACACCTCAGCAGCTCAGATACTCATGCAGATCTCAATTTGGGTTTTATGAAAAAAATAAGGTAACACTCTTTCGATGGTTCACTTTTGACATTCTACTGACTAAGTAACTTTGCAACTCTGTCAACTAACTCTCATTAGACTATTAGTAGACTGTCTGCTTAATACCTGCTGACACTTTATTCTGTTGGTCCCCCAACAGACATTCTACTGACTAGAAGTAACTTTGCAACTACTAACCCGAACCCTAAACCAACAATCTATAAAGTCAACTAATACTAATATACTAATGAGAGTTAGTTGGCATGTAGTTACCAGTGATGC